AATGTCCTTAAGAATATACAGAATTTTCAATATTGCACTTCTACAAAAATATACTGCAGAATTAACACTATCTCTTCGGGAGACCCAAAAATAGAGAACTGACATTTTATGTTAAATTCAAGATGAATATAATGGCCAACTATTCAAGAAAACAATTCCTGGTGTTTGGTCGTATCTGGACTTCACGGCAGGAAGCCACTTCTGACTAAAATTCGTAGAAATGACGAGTAGGCTTYGTCAACTCTTATTTCWCTAAGACAACAAATCAACGGAGGTATGTATGTCATTTGGAACGATGTAACAAAAATTAATCACTTAGGTCCCGATAGTGGAAGGTATATTCGCCGTCCAATAATTCAATAATTTGATCCTCGCTATTTTACACGCGTAGTTGAGTATTGTGGAGGATCAATCATGGTGTGGGAAATTTTTTTCCTGGAATGGTGTTGGTCCACTTCATAAGATTAGTRGAATTTTAAACAAGGAGGAATGCGTCGACATTCTAAAAAATGTCATGGGCTGAGGAAAATTTGCCTRTAATAAGGAAGATAACAATTAAAATTCAATGTGCCCAAAAAATTAGGTGACATTTGAATTTAAACTGCGCGCGTCGAAGGATTWGGAGAATTATTTTTTTTTAGCTTGGTAGAACTGTCAGTCACATTTATGTCAAATTTCATGTCAAACTRTTCATTAGTGTTTGAGATACGTGTCATTTTGAGACCTGCTAAAAGTGAGTTTTTCGTTTTTTGCGATGTCGAAATTTGTTGAGCAAAGAATTTGCATTAAATTTTGTTTACGGAATCATTTTTCTGCTGCGRAAAGGATGACGATGAGGATGGTGCAGAAAGCCTTTGGTGATGAGGCTATGTCTAAAAAAACATGTTTACAAGTGGTGTAGTGAGTTCCAAGCCGGCCGTGAATGTGTCGAAGATGAASAGCGTCCAGGGCGACAATCAACCTCATCCGACGAAGCTCACATTCAATTAAAGATTTGGTGTTGAAAAACCGTCGATTAACAATTAGAGACCTTGCTGATGAAGTTGATAAATCGAAAGTCTCAGCCAATACCATTTTGAAGGATGTTTTGGGCCTCAAGCGCGTCAAATCTCGACTGGTACCGAAAACATTGAATTTTTTGGAAAAAAGGCGTCGCGTTGAAGTGTGTGAAACTATGCTTTCCGACTACCAGGGTGTCATGAAATGCATTATAACTGGCGATAAGGATTGGATCTATGCTTACGGCACCGAAGCAACCGATAAATCGAGCGAATATCGAGAGAGAGACCAAAAAAATCGCGCCAAAGTCGCTTAAAAAAACGACCGCTCCGGCGACACCGTTTTTATACGATAGAGGAGATTCAAGCCGCAGCGAAGACGGAACTGAAGGTCATCTCGGAAAGTGACTACAACCAGTGTTCCGAAGATTGGAAAATCCGTTGACATAAGTCCATTGCATAGGGAGGGGATTACTTTAAGGGGATGAAATTGATTTGGAAGAATAAATAAAGAATTTTCAAAATAAATACAATGTCACCTTATTTTTTGTGCACGTCTAAATTGACACAAAAGTTTTTTAATGAAAATTTTATCAATGTTTTGAAGTGGGAATCGTCCAGCCCCGACTTCAACCCTATAGAACATCTCTGGGTGATGTTAAAAAAGCACCAAAAATATTCCAAATATGGATGTGGATGGAGTCTTCTAACATAAATTTGGACTCGATGTGAGGCAATATTAAAGCAAACGAGATAACCAGCAAAATACTAACTGAAAGTACGAGTAAGCAAGTTTTTGTAATATCAGTATTTTTTGTTGACAAAATATTTTCGCTTTTTAATTAGTTGTCGCACTCAAATCATTGATTCCACATGTTTTTTTTTTTAATCTTCAAAACAAAAACGAATTTTTAACAAAATTTTTACTATTAGAGTTTAAGTTTAACATAGGTTTCAATAAAATAAGTGATGCATTGGAAAATAACATCATTTACTTCAAAATAGGTGTCGTTTCTAATTAGCTGTCAACAGATGTATGTACATAAATGAAAATATTGGTTTTGTGTGGATTTGCCTGAAATATCGCAACGTGTTCATATTATTTTTCACAAGACTGTTTGTTAAAAACTTTTAAATTTATCCTTATTTTTTTCTCACAAAATAATCGTTATAATTTGGTMTTTATTTTAAATCAATCGCTTAAAAAGTAAGAGTTATTCGATAACAGTTATTCATTGTTCACAGAACACTAGTTATCTCTTACGCAATACGAATTGAAAAATAAGCTTTTTGTTTTGCCTATTTAACCAATAATACTCTCACGCTAGCTTTATTTTCAGATGGCAAAGTAAGAATTGAATTGTGAGGAAAATATTTGTGGTCTTAGAGTTATGAGATGATTTTAATTTATCGCTCACTAGATATAACTTAATGAATTTATTTGCTGTAAAAGAGAAYTTGTAAATATGTATTCTCCTTTTCTCCTGATATATATAAATTTGTAGGCTTAAATTAAAGATTGCGTTTTAAAAAATATAAAAAATAAATTAAATTTTAACTAATTTAATCCTTAGAGTTAATAAATTCGAGCAGCATTAGAGCTATGTAGAGTCAGTCGTAGCCCACAAAAGTTTTTACACTACTATGATTTTGTTTTCTCATGAATGATACGGTTCGTGATTAAAATACATAAACACTTTTCCTTATTATCAGAAGCAAACATTCATTCAAGCCTTCCGAAAAAATATACATTCCATTACATATGAATACAGAGCCGGCTAGTTAAGGAATTTGTATAAATCATATGAAAATKTAAAAGTTAAATTGAGAAACACTGTATGTGCATTGGAAAATAAAGTGATAAATACCGAATATAGCTCTCAACATACTGTAGAATCGAAAAAGAATTAGGTTATACATARTTTCTTATAACATTATAAATGCATCTCTCTCCTTATAAGGTATAAAACTAAAAACCATAGCCATTATTAGATGCAGTCCGAAATATATAAATATTCAAACCGTCTATTCACATATGTACATCTATGAACTTTCTTACGTACATATGTACATTCTACTTGTACAATTTTACTTAAAGAAAACGAGTCATATAATTGACATTTAGCATACTCGCTTGTCATAAAATAATTATACTTATACATATGCATGTRTGTATCTAATACATAATTCGTAATATATAAATAAATTTCCAAGAATATTTTCTTTTTATTTTATTCATATCAAATTCTAAAAAAAATTAAAAATAAAATTTCTCTCCTATCACTCCTCCTTAGCTGTCGAAAAAAATTGAGCTTATTTCATAACACTTCCACTGCAAACATCGGCATTAACTGCACACTAAAAATTATTTGAAACGTGATGGTTACGCATTTAGAAACCGTATACAGGATGGCAGTCAATTCTTACGATTACTTTTACATCATTCTTTACTGTTATTAAAATTGAAGTATTAATTTAGCACTTTATAACAATTTAGATTTTTTTTGTTATGTTATAATGTTCCCGGCAGCAAGTCACCACCATCTAACAAAGAAAACCGTCAAAGACTGGCTGGAAGTTACCAACTAAAAATGACAATCGTAGTCGAGTGGTGAAATTTTAGTTGAATTTGTCAAAGGAATATTGATTTTCTTATTTCACACAAGCGTCAGAAAATCATACAGATACACTTTCAAGTAGAAGGGTGGTGGTTGGCTCTTAAATCCTTATTGGTGAATGTAAACAATCCMATGTTATTCGTATTTGCCGGTCATTTAAGTATTTATTCATTTGTGTGGTGAATTTTGTTGATGTTTTCATTTTTTTACRAATCTTTTATGGTGCAATATGTAGCCATGAGTTGTGATACTATCAAGCGATCTAGATTCATCACTTTAAACATAATACGTTGAGAATGTCAAATTATTAACATAYTTAGCTGGGCTTGCAGACACATTTGTAGTTTTCGCCGATTTAAGATCCCCTACCCCCTCTAAGAATAAGACACACAGAGAGGATAACTTGGTGACCTGGACCATATGGACTGTATAATTGTTTTGCTGGTAAGTAAAGTCATTGTCAAAAATGTTACTCAMAAATTCTAACAAACATTATTTATTAATATTTCATGCACATTACTAAAGTGTTTAGTATTTTAGGAACACTTTGCAAGTACAAACATATATGAGCTGCGTTAGAATAGCAAATCCAACATTTAGCCAAATCTTCTGTCTTTGGCCAATTTTGCCGAGATATAGCACTGACGCTACGGTTATTCTAATTTCCATAATACATATATTAGTTAACAATTCGTCCGAGGTAATTTACAATTACGGTTTGTAAYTCCACTCAATTGAATTGAACAATGGCGTTATTTTTTATTGCGGACTACATTTAATTCCAGTTGAAGTTTCATTGATGTTGCCAACCTAACAAAATGAAGATTTGATAGAAAAGTTAAAACAACATTCCATTCGGTTATTACTCGCGAAATGGTGARCAAATATTATAGTGGACATTAGTTTTAAATAAATAAGAGACGAAGCCTCTCTCCCACCTCGAATCCYACAMCGAATTTGCACTCATTTATATGGCCACTGTAGTAAATGCCACAAGGACCTACTCACCTCAGTCCATGTTCCGTTCATCACATTTTTTGGACGGCGGTGATGTCAGCCTTTATTTTTGCAAGGACATCAACCAGCTGGTGAGAGCGGCACCTTCTCAATTAAGGTACCGGACATTCCAGGTACATACCCTTAAATCGTTATCCTTAATGCGAGGCGTATTGAGAATTTTTCATTTGGGGCGTTTTTCCGTGGAAGATCYCAAACCCAGCACACAACCCTAAGGAAGAGTGGTTCGTCTTCTCATTTCACCTCACCTTCAAACGGATGTTCTTTGGCTACCCAGAAGATACTTGGCCTAAAACTGGAAGTCGTGAGCTGCTTGAGCTATATGTAAAATAATAATTTCTGGTGACTCCTAAGCGAATGGCATTCAGTGAAGTTTTCTCACTTGCGTTAACTTCGCTCGAGGCTAGCTAAGCTAAGTGCACCTTCTTTAAACGCGTTTTTACCGAAACTGTGTTTTTGAAGTCAGTTGGCAAGGTTTCTTGAGAACTACTCAACTGACTTGAGATACAACTCTAAAGACTTAGACGAAGGATTTTTTTCGATTACAACTACATATTTGAAAAAAATATTTCACTGAAATTTCCTTTTTTTTTTGTTTTTGAAAAATGTATGTCAAAAATCCAGTTTCCAGTTTTTTTCCTTCGTCCAAGTTCTAAGTCAATGTTTTTCACTTTAAATGATCCTATAAGGAGTTATCCTGCCAAAGGGCATCTTTTTTCCGAGAAGTCACTGGGAATTTCGTCGCAATGGTCGAGTTTCAAATATACATTTTTTTAATATCAGAATTTCTTTGTTATCGATGCGAAAATAAGACCTACTTCTGAAATATTTTTTATGTTTGATAAAATAATTTATTTTCATTTCCATCGTCGCAGTTTTTTTGTCAGGCTAACTGAGCTATCCAAATATGGGGGCATGCTAAAAACGAGTGTTTAAAAAGTATTTTTAGAGTCAGAAGCTACAACTTAGAACTATATTTCTATTGAATTAATAAATTGGTTGTATTCCAATTCTCTCTTTGACCAATTGAACCTTAAGGTAATCTCCTGGCTTTGATTCTTGCAACTTGCAAGAATAAAATGTTGCGTTGCACTCGAACCTAGCCCTTCCTTACTTGTTTAAACGCAAGTTTTTTGTGCAATTAACTAAGGAAAACTAAAGATATATTTTTTTCAATAAYAATTCAATAATTTAACCAGATATGCAGGGAAACCAATTAAGTTAAGCCCTTCACATACAGATTTATACACGATGGGGCACCCTGCTCTAGTTTCCGAAGAACGGGTGATTTCCATCACAGCTTGGATATCGATATAAGTATTAACCTGGGGTGGCCAATTCACCCGACTTAACCCTATCGAAAACTGTTGGTTAATGGAATAATGTCTCTAGCGGAAAAATGGCAAAAAGGGGTCGAACAAAATTATTTATTTATTAGTATAAAAAAAAAAAAAATAAGTGGAAGCTTGATTAGAAATACAAAAAATGTTTTCGACTATCCAATATGTCAGCCAACAAATTTTCGGGCAATATCACAAGTATTTCGCCGTTAAATTGTTAAGGAAGRTTAGCTTTTTTCTTTCTATTTAAATTATAAAGATTTATTACAGTTTTTAATAAAAATAAATTGTATGTCCTCCTGTAAAGAATATTCAGATAGATAAAAAAATATGAAAATAAAAAGAATTAAATTCATTAATTCTCATTTTTATTTATTTATGTAAACTAAAATATAATGTAAATGTTAACTGTTTTAAATCTTAAGACTTATTATTTAAACAACTAAAAGTTTGTATGCCATTATCCCCAAAAAGCTAAAATGTTAACGGTACTAATCATGCCACACGGACAGGCGTCAAAATAGTATGCTCCTCTTTTTGTAGATTRAGCAGCACACACTTAGGTTCCAATCGTCTGGCATGCTTTCATCTGACCATATCACGCTGCCGTATTTTACTGACTGAGCCATTTGTATGCATGTGGCAGCTCATTATACTATATATGTTGATATATTTGGGTCTTGTTAAGCGTTTCAACATCCTCTACTCCWAACAGAGTAGTTACTTTCCGAATCTCCGCACTTTTACGCGATGAGCCCAAACGAATAAGGTTATAGCTAGTTTTAGATCTACYGAAAATTGGATTAAGCGTTGCAATATCTGTGTCAAGCACAATTGCAACGTAAATTGATCTCTTGAGACTCGGGTCATCTGTCCGTCTAACCGGTCAAAACATTAGATCTCCATCCTCTTAAACATTTGACAGATTTTAATATTTTCCGCGATGGATCTATACAATAACAGTAAGATTCAATTCATCCATAGTTTTTCAACAGATAAAATCGTTTAAAAACTTCAATTATTTTATTTTTTTAAAAATTAAAAAAGTAAATAAACAATTACCATAATAGAAGAAGTAGTATGTTAGTAGCATGTTTTTCAATCATCAAATTAACAAGGTTTTGTTTCTCAGAAGTGTGTGACATTTTTTAAATTATTTTGTTAATCTTTTGCAATTTGTTTCGTTTGTTCATTTATTCATTTACAAAACTTATTAYAATAATCATTTACAATAAATTGACCAAATCAGATGTTCATATGTACAGTAAAATTTTTTCTACTTAAAATTTAAAAAAAAATACACGATTCATATGTAAATTTGGGGATCTGTTCCAAAACCTTAAAACTTCGTGCAAAATGAATAACCCGTGCAAAAAAAGTGATATTAAACTTCATTAAGTAATAATAAACAAAACAATCCATATTTATTACAAGAAAATAAATTTARTATACAATTTAAATTCAATCCATAAGTACAAAAGTATAATGGACTGGCTTAAAAATAACACTATCTCAGAAGATATGTCTAACAAACTGTTGGATTTTTATACCCTGAACGTATATATACACTAAGTTTGTCACGAAGTTTGTAACACCCCGAAGGAAGCGTCGGAGACCCTTTRAAGTATATATAAATGATCAGTATGTTGAGCTGACTCGATTTAGCCATGTCCGTCTGTCTGTCCGTCTGTCTGTATATATACTACTACTTTCTCAGTTTTTAAGACATCGTTTTGAAATTTTGAAAACGTAATTTTCGCTTCAAGMAGCTGCTCATTTGTCGGAACTGCCGATATCGGACCACTATAACATACAGCTGCCATACAAACTGGACGATCGGAAACAAGTTCTTGTAGTGAAAACTCTCACACTTGACAATGTATCTTCACAAAATTTGGCACTGGTTATTTTCTAAGAAAATTATGTAATATACGAAGAAATCGTTTAGATCGGCTTGCTATAGCATATAGCTGCTATACAAACTGAACAATCGGAATCTAGTGCTGCTATGGAAAACTTTTGCATTTGACAAGAAATATTAACGAAATTCTTTTCTGAGGCAACAATGTAATTTTCGAAGAAATTGTTCAGATCGGCATAAGGCATAAAGCATAAAGCAGTCATACAAACTGAGTGATCGGAATCTAATGCTTGCATGGGAAACGTCCTCATTTAACGATATACATATCTTCACGAAATTTGGTATGAGTTATTGTTCATAGAAATAATGTAATATCGGAAGAAATTGTTCAGATCGGTTAACTATAGCATACAGCTATAACTGGACAAATAGTTACTAAAAAAATGCACCAGTGAAAGGTATATTAGTTTCGGTGCAGCCGAAGTTAACTTCTTCCTTGTTTTCTAATGCAGAATTATCTTCATTATTAATCGGCCCCTATATGTTTTCTTGTTATAAAGTCTAATAACAGAAGACTTTTTTTCTACACTTGTTTAGATAATTTTTAATACCGATMAACACAAAATTTAAGTTTATGTTGGAATTGTAATACACGCTTGTAGCCAATTTCAAGCCCTCATGAATTAAATTAGCCGT